ATTGATAGTCTCTAAATTAATCATTTGAAACCTCACACTACGCATTCGGCTTCAAATGAATTTTAGAGACTATCAATTCGGTCTAACATTCATCTAATTTCCAAACACAATACGTTTATCTCCTAAGTGTTGAACTGACAGGTAGAACTGTAGACCTGGGTCAGTTAGTAAGCATCATTTAAGATGCGCAAAGAGATATTCCAGATAGTAATGCATGAGTCGGTGAATGTTGGTAACAGCACATTGCTGAGTGAGTGAGTGAGTGAGTGAGTGAGTGAGTGAGTGAGTGAGTGAGTGAGTGAGTGAGTGAGTGAGTGAGAGTGAGTGAGTGAGTGAGTGAGTGAGTGAGTGAGTGACGACAGAAATTGATTTCATACATTGTATCCATGTGGGGAATCGAACCCTGGTCTTCAGCATGACAAGCAAGGGCATTAACCACTTGGCTCCCTTACTGCCCAACATAACAAAGTAAATATACAGGCTATAAAGTCCCACATTTCTTCAGTAGGTGATTTCGGTTTTACATCACTTTTAGCAATAATTCAATAATTGCATGCTGGGGACACCAGCCATGAGATTCACACATCATTTCATTTTGGAGAATCAAACCCTGAACGTCCAGGCGATGAGTGAACACCTGAACCACTAGACTAACCCACTGATATATTTTAGAGCTCAATACCTATGTGGTTACTTCCTACAAAGGATACAACAGCAATCCAACTCCAAACAAATCCAAACCAAAACTAAAATTGTGTTAAAAATTCAAATTTCTAGAGGGGTGAAGCTGAGATTTTAATATCACCAGTATCAATCTAAAGGATTCTAATGGCACATCAAATAAATACTAGCATCAGAAGATAAAAAATCATTTGGAGAAAAACGTTATTTAAAACATCTATGTATCAGATTAAACTCATCCATCTTAAAAAAAATATTTATGAAAGGGGAACAAATAAAACTAACACTTAATGAACAACTTCAAAGAAACACAAAATGATTGATTGATTTTTTCCGGTGCAAAAACAAAAGATGAAAGTCATTCATCATCGAAGTGTAACTGGCATCATTCCAATTTCTAATTAAAGATCAACTCTATTTTATTACTAATTACTTTTCAAGGAAAACTTTTATTTATCAGAATCATGGAACAAGTCGAAACACAAAATATTCCAAACGTTCAACAATTAACACTAGTGACTTTTGTTAACTATTGTAAAAGCAAAAATTGGAAAGTTAAAATTGGAATAATCATAACAAGAGGCATATCCCTGGCCATTGATCAATGTGCACTTCATTCTCAACTCCCTGCGAAGTAGACAACCCAAGCAGCCTTGTCAGGTGATAGAAGGTTAAAAGTTACATGACCAGCTCATCCTTCCGGGCACCCATTTACTGCTTGGTAAAGAAAGGTTGGTTGGTTTGTTGTTTAATGCCACACTTAGCAACATTCCAGCCGTATGGCAGTGGTCTGTAATTAATCGAGTCTAGACCAAACAACCCAGTGATCAAACAGCAAGAGCATCAATCAATGTAATTGGGATACGTTGACATGTGTCAACCAAGTCAGCGAGCCTGACCACCCGATCCCGTTAGTCGCCGTTTACATCAAGCATGGGTTGCTGAAGACCAATTCTAACCTGGATCTTCACAGGTTTTGGTGAAGAATGGTATATTTAGAGAAAGGTCTTGTCTAATATGGACTGAAGCTCTTGATACATGCAGGAGTTCAGCAAATCCTGCCACCCATTCAACCACAGTACGTCATGAAGGATGTTTTAAGGTTTGAAACTAAATTAATTTATACTGACCGAGTTTGGATTTACGCCGATTTTAGCAATATTCCAGCAACATCACGGCTGGGGACACCAGAAATGGGCTTCACACATTGTACCCATGTGGGGATTTGAACCCGGGTCTTCGGCGTGACGAGCCAACACTTTACCCACTAGGCTACCCCACCGCCCAAAATTAATTTATAAGGCAGGTATCTTAAGATTCTGTATGATTTTATTCAAATTGTGAGTCACGACATGGCTGAAATATTGCCGATGTGACTTTAAATCTTAACTCACTCACCATTCAAATTGTTGAAATTTATGTGCCAGGTGTCCATTTATGTTAAATAAACATCAAATTTATGTCAACAAATTTGTATAAATAAGTCAGTCAACGATTTTGAAAATAAATTACTTTATAACACTGACAGAACCTTAATCTCAATGAAAATATTATCATATCTGGCTGTGATTGAAAATAGCAGCTAGACACAGAAGCTCTACGAGCATGATGAAGTCCTGTACTTGAACATCCAGCAATCAAGTAAGTGTGTCTATTGATCATATTGATTGGCTAATTAATGTTGCCTGTTTCATGTGGAGGACAGCATGGTCACAATGTAATGTTCTTTATACCTTACAGTGCGTGGGCGAGGAAGTGAGTTGGCTTTAACCGCTCTTTGAACTTCATTCCAGTTAAATTATACTATGTCATTTCATTAGGGGCCAGAGCCTGAAGTGATGCAGGTACCAGCTTAACATTAGGCCAGATCAATTTTATTTCTTGTTTTACGGATGTGCCTGTCGTATTTTTTCAAAAAAAAAAATTAATTAATTTTCCCCACTCAAAATATAAAATCCTCATGTTTTTATTGTCCAAAAATGTAACCTTACAAAAAAATTGTTTTGAATGTTTTAGGCCCCATATACACTTCATAAATTGCCAAAAATAAAATACTTTTAATATTTAAAAGGAATATTACTTTGACTGGTGATTTTTTATTTTCTGTTTTTTCCCTCCTGCCTTTAGGTTTGCTGAGGACCAAAACAAAAAAAACAAGAAATAAAACTGGTCTGGCCTTAAGGTGAAACCCACACAAGTGGGCATGTTGCTGACAAATCTTGAAAAATAATTTTTCCACTCACTGCATCAGAAACTATAAAAAAAAAAAAAATGATAATATACACAAAGAACTTAGTAAGAACCCCCTGACGTATCTCACGATTAAATGAGCCTTGATTTTTACCCTTTGGAACATATCTGGGACATGATTAGTCATCGTGTGCAACAAAAGGATCCTCCTGTACAGGACCTGGCCCAATCGGAAGCTGCTTTACACGAGGAATGGCGTAGACTGCCCCTTCAGAGGATCAGGAGGCTGACAGGGGGTATGAGGAGGAAAGTGCTGGCTGTCATACAGTCACATGGAGGTTACACTCGGTATTGACCTTGAATTGTGTCAGACACACAAAATAGTATTTTGAATGTTCACATTCACCAATAAATTCAACATTAAACATTCCAGGGCCATACTTGTACAGACATGGTTTTGTATGAAAATCAGTGTTATTTGGGGTTTTTAAAAGTTATCATCATAAAATCAACATGCATTCCAATCATTTTGTCGTTTTTTATGAGTCAAAAGATCATATGGGTCAGAAAAATACATGTTTTTCCATCGTTGTCACCACGAGAAGTTGTACGTGTTGCAAATATAAAGGGATACTTAAATAAGTTCTTTGTGTATAATAATAATTAATTTACATAGCTCCGAAAATCCATCTATAAGGTCTTCTGTGGCGCTGTACACGAGTGAGAGTTATTTAAAGGCTTGTAGAAAGAGATGAGTTTTCAGATCAGATTTGAACTTTGTTGTTGTCTAGTGATTTTTAATTGCAAATTTGATGTCTTCACTGACAAAAGTCATTTATTCTTGTTTGTTCACATGAAGCAACATGTCGTTTTTTTACCACCAGAAAATGAGTTTGATGAAAGTGTAACCCTTAGATAAGGTGACCCCATTCTACAGACTGCTTTTTGTTTTGTTCCTCAAAATTTGGCTTATCTAGTCATAGATGGCAGTGAAACTAACATCTGAACCCATTATTACCGATTTCTGGTGGGCCTCAAACCTTCCGATGCTTTATTAATACAGCAAACCTTTAAAATAAACATTGGTAATTGGCAAAGCAGTTCTGCGATATATATTATTCGCACAACATAAATTATAACCTATAAGATTCAGCTCAATCAACATGACATTATTAAAAACAATTCTTAGATTATTGTAATGCTACATAAGCTATGGGTATCAAAATATCAGATCTCTCAGAGAAGACGAATGCATCAACATTTATTAAAATAGTGGAATGTTTTTCAATTTGAGAAAAATTATCAGATTTGTCATTAAATGGCATGAATAAAACAAAGTTGGACTGTGATGGAACACATTTCATGTTTCTGATCAATTATCCTTATCACATATCCTTTTTCCTACTTGTACAAGATAAAAAATACCATAAATATGCTGAATAGTTTCCTCCATGTTGGAATCAAACTCAGTGTTTCAATACAATGAGTGAACACTTTACCTACAAGGCTAACACCACGGTCCTTCGCAGTAAAAGTATCAATAAACCACCTGTATTTTCAACAGGTCAGAAAAGATGAATAAACTGTATACTTTTCTATGCAATTTCATGGTTTGGGGTGGAAATAGAAAGCAGAATTTTACCTTTCCAAAACTACCTGTCAGTTTGTGCACTGATTTCTATCATCTCCAGGGTTTGTTGGCATGGCAACAGATTATGAGAAAGAACAAGGGAAAAACATCACTTTTCATAAACAGGCCTTGGAGCACCCTAGCTGGGTTTGTTGGCATGGCAACAGATTACAGGAGAGAACGAGAGAAGAAAGCTCACAGTTCATAATCTCCAACATGCCTGGGAGCTCTGGTTTCTTTCTCTATCAGGGTTGTTGGCATCATAAGAAAGAATAAGAAAAGGAAGCTTACCTTTCTTAAACTCTTAACAGACCAGGAAGCACTGGTTAATATCTCCAGCTGGGTTTGTTGGCATGGCAACAGATTATAAGAAAGAATAAGAAAAGGAAGCTTACCTTTCATAAACTCTTAACAGCCCAGGAAGCACTGGTTTATATCTCCAGCTGGGTTTGTTGGCATGGCAACAGATTATAAGAAAGAATAAGAACAGGAAGCTTACCTTTCATAAACTCCAACAGACCAGGTAGCACCGGCTTCNAACAGACCTAGCATCCCTCTCTTCCACTGCCTGCATCGTGAGGATGTTCTCAGTGAACACATAGTTACAGTTGCCATGGGTGACAGCAGACACAAGCGTGATAAGAGTGGTGATGTCCAGATTCACCTTGAAAATGCTGTTGATGATGTGTGCGCTCCTGTCCTGGATGCCCGCAGGGAGAACTGGGAGAACCCCAAGCAACTCCGACATCAACAACGTGTAGTTCGGGCTACAGGAAGACTTGGGGGACGCTGGACGTTTGGAAGGAGTGCATGAGGTAGAGTCCACTGGAGCATCAGTGGAGAAGAATCCAGAGGCTGGAATGGTGGAAGGGTCAGTTGGAGAGTGAGAGGTAGCATCCACAGTAGATCCATATGGGTGATCAGTCGGAGCATTATTTCTATTATTACCAAGGCCTTTCACGGTTCTTGAGCTTCTTAAGCCATCATGAACTTGGGCAGATTGCTTGCACTGTAAGCCATGTTTTATCTCTAGATGTTCACCGATACCAACATTGCCCTGTCTTTCCTGAGCAAAGCACAAACGTTCTTCTCTACTGATCTGTGTCTGATTTGAAGAACCTGAAAGACAATGGGTATCAATGTTTTGGAGCAGTGGTTTTGAAAGACTGTGGTCATGTAAGGCAGAGTCGACTGGACGTTCTCCTGGAACAGAATCTCCATCAGTCTGTACAAGGGAATCTTTGGCGCCAATCATTTCCCTCACACCACCTTCTACATCATGTTCTTTTCGATTAATCACATTCCCTGAGCTTGTGACAACAGATTCAGAAATAAAACTTTCACAATCATTTCCACATTGCCGAGACTCATTTCCGATGGAGTCTGCATGTAATGAACCTTTTTCAGGATGTTTAGCACTGAAAGAAGCTGAAAGAAACTCACTGGCACTCATAATCCTAGAACTGAAATCTTCATCAACCTCTTCAGCATCTCCTCTTCCCATTTCAGGTCCAGTTCCTGGTCCAGTGAACTCTTCTTCTTCATCTCTTTGTCCACCTTCCGCCTCCTCCTCTTGTAGATGCATCAGCTTCTGCTTGACACTTCCATCAACTGGAACCCGATGCCCAAGCACCTGTATACCCTTGTCCTGAAGAGCCTCAGACATGGGGATGGTGACATTGTTGTAGAAGACAAAGTAGACTCCGGGATTGGTGAAGTTACGAGGGTGTTTCTCAGCACTGTCCAGATAATCGTCTGCTTGTCGTAGCAGGTCACGTTCTCCAAACTGACCTTGACCTGTGGGAGACAATCATGGTGTCAATAAATACTTCACAAGTGGAATGTGCCAAATACCTTTGCATCTTCTCATTTTAACTAGTATGTTTTTGGCATTTTTTTCAATAAACATAAGTCTCAATACTATTTACGGAGATTCCTAGACTGATCACACTTTTATAAGATTTAATCATGGGAGTAAACTACCTCCACAACTCCACAGTACAACAGAACCTGTTACTGAGGTTTCATACTATAGCCAGCATTACTGGGACTAAGAATTAATTTAATTTGGGAACAAGTAAGAAATGTGGGTTAAAGCTGCTTTACACAGTTACATCATAGCACATCAGCCCTAGGGTGCCCAGTTGTCAAAAGTGCCACTATTTACTGCGCTCATAATCATCCCAGGGTTTGCCAGAAACCTATAAATCCTGCATCACCATGATAAGATTTTAAAGTTTGTTATCATCACAGCCTTGTTAGTGGGTATCGCCAGAGTGGTAAACATCTGGGGCCTGCATGTTTTAATGAGTGAGTGAGTATGAGTTTATGCCGCTTTTAGCAATATTCCATCAATATCACGGCGGAGGACACCAGAAATAGGCTTCACACATTGTGCCCATGTGGGGATTCGAACCCGGGTCTTCGACGGGAAGAGCGGACGCTTTAACCACTAGGCTACCCCACCGCCCCCCTGCATCTTTTAAGTCTTTTCTCCCACATTAGGCTGTGAAACTGTGATATTACTTGAATACTGTCTCAAAACGATCTTCAACCAAATTCACTCACTCACTCGCTAACTTCTACATGATGAGTGATGCACACATTAAGTAATCCTCTATCCGTACTATCCAGGAATAATGACACACTCAGGAGGGTAAGAGTAGTGAGCTTTTACCAATATTCCAGCAATATAATGGCCAAGGACACCAGAAATTGACTTCACACATTGTAACACTATGGAATCCGGGTCTTTGGTGTGACAGGCGAACACTTTGTCCACTGGGCTACCCCACCACCCCCCAGCCAGGAAAGAGGGGTCCTAAGACTTAGTTTCTCGTTAACTGAGCAAGTTACACGGTTCAGCAGCCACTTCAGCAGTCGAGCGATACCATAGAGTCATGATTATAACCAAACAAGTCACTGCGTCCGACCGATAAAATAAGTCTCCAGTAACATGGACACATTTTCATAGATGCAGTTGATCCCAGCTCTCCAGTCTAGTTTGTCTGGTGTTACGATCACAAGAAGAAATTCAGGATTCACAGATAGTGGTCTTGCCCCCCAGTTGTGCTCACACACAATCAACCATTAGTCTGACCACTCTATATGTAATCAAACTGAAGCCGTAACATGAAAGTTTCTTGTGTACATTTCTCAGATTTCTTACTGAAAACACTACAGTTTAGAAAGAACATAGGTACACCTACAGAATACTGGATACCTATCCAGCCATCTTGTTTAATGTCATGTCACCCTAACCCTAACGCTAGCCCTAACCCTAAACCTTACTCTAACCCCAAACCTTACTCTAACCCTGAGTAAACTAGCAAGCTTTCAAAGATGGCGGAAGGTATCCGGTAATCTGTAGTCTTACCAGAACATATAATTTCCCCTATTATCAAAATCTTTTAGTTACACTGATGTTTGAACAAAGTTTAAAGTTCCTCTGCTCTATTAAAGTTGACTGGTGCGTGGCACCTCCCTTTGCCAATTTCTGAGCGATCAGGACTCTTTGACATAAATATGGCGAATAAAGACAATAAATATGGCAGAAAAAGCGTGGCATATTTTTTTTTTTTTTAAGTTATGAACATGACCATATTTCCTGACTGGCTTCAGTGCTCAAAATTTAATTGATTTGCCTTTGCATGTGTTTGTGATGGCAGACATCAGCATGGCACGATGCATTTTGGAAGCACCTGCTGTCAGCACTTAGTGCTTCAAAAACCATGCCCATGATGCAGTCGGACACACAGCGGACTTTAAGAATCGCTTTTAGTGGAGATGTCTTAGGATCATGCAAATGTTTTTCTTCACTTACATTCACAACTGTGAATAATAAACCTGTACGAGAAACTTGGCAGCAGTCTCCCAAGTTATCTAACCAGGTAAACACCGTGTGATTCTAGCCTCATGTATTTGCGACAAAAAAACATGTTCTCCTAACTAGCAATTACTCGGCAATTGGATCAATGAGACCGGCCATGTCTGAAGCCCTGTAAACACAATGAAACCATTTGGGCTGACTGTCCCGTGCCGGGCGAGAGCAGATCGAAGCAATCAAATAAACCTCCAGTGTATCAATACCTCGTTTATTACCTGGGATCCATTACCAGATTGGTCAATGTGCGAGTGATTACTCTCCGTCAGCCCGCGATTCACACTTTGATGCTGTAATCGGGGTGAATTATAGTGATGCATTTGGTAAATACAGTTCAGACAGGCCATTCATGCCACATCCTGACGAAGTTTAAACATCAGTGTTGAACTGACAGGTATGAATTGTAGACCTGGGTCAGTTAGTAAGCATCATTTAAGATGCGCAAAGAGATATTTCAGATAGTAATGCATGAGTCGGTGAATGTTGGTAACAGCACATTGCTGAGTGAGTGAGTGAGTGAGTGAGTGAGTGAGTGAGTGAGAGTGAGTGAGTGAGTGAGTGAGTGAGTGAGTGAGTGAGTGAGTGAGTGAGTGAGTGAGTGAGTGAGTGAGTGAGTGAGGAGGAGTGAGTGAGTGAGTGAGTGAGTGAGTGAGTGAGTGAGTGAGTGAGTGAGTGAGTGAGTGAGTGAGTGAGTGAGTGAGTGAGTGAGTGAGTGAGTGAGTGAGTGAGTGAGTGAGTGAGGAGGAGGAGTGAGTGAGAGTGAGTGAGTGAGTGAGTGAGTGAGTGAGTGAGTGAGTGAGTGAGTGAGTGAGTGAGTGAGTGAGTGAGTGAGTGAGTGAGTGAGTGAGTGAGTGAGTGAGTGAGTGATCCCCAGAAATATTTTTGTTAAAACCATTGGAAATAGAGCCATCCCCAAAACCAGAATATCTATCCCCTAAATCTATCATATTATATAGAGGATATTATATGAGTGCCCATGTCATACTATGTGTACAACACGAGTGCCTAAATGCCGGTATTTTCCGAGTGAGAGCGAGGGATATACCGATATTTAGGCACGAGTGTTGTAAACATAGTATGATATGGGCACGAATATTTTCTGTTTATTACCGAAGTCGTCAAATTGAGGAAAATAAACCCAAATCTACTTTCAAACACAGGTTGGCTACCCGCCGTCGCCGCATGTAGAAAGCAACGTCACAGAAAAAACGTGACGTCATAGCCTCGTTCATGACGTCACGTCACCATGACAAAGTGATATTTTGCCCTAGGGCATCGTATGAAAAATATGAACCCCGATATGTTCGCCCTCGTAGGCAATAATTATTCATTAGAATCAATGCAAATTGATTTCAAAATCTTAGGCCAACATTTGGTTGAACACAGCAACTGAATTCTTTGTCAGCCTTTTTAAAGATTCAAGGAATTGTGTTTCACAAGGTTTCCACTGACAACTGCCTCAGAATCAAATATTATCAAAATGGTATGTTTCGTACATAAGCCAACCCCCGTGATAGGAGGAGGGTGCGTGAGTGAGCGAGTGAAGTTTTATGCTGCTTGTAGTAATAATCCAGCATTTTCCCAGCACAGGACACCAGGAATTTCACCCATTTTATCCAAGTGGGAAATGGAACCTGCATCTCCAGCATGACAAGCGAACCCTTCAACCACTAGGCCACCCCTCCACCCCATAACTAATTGGTACCATGAAACATGACAACTGACACTTCACTATTGTCAACAATCTTCGCTCGTCAGCCCAAATACCCAAGTTTGATTCCCCACATGGGTACATTTTGTGAAGCCCATTTCTGGTGTCCCCTACCGTGATACTGCTGGAATATTGCTAAAAGACGATACTCACTCACTTATCTATAGTCTTAAAAAACAAGGGGCAGTGGGGTAGCGTAGTGGCTAAAGCGTTCATTCGTCACGCCGAAGACCCGGGTTCGATTCCCCACATGGGTACAATATGTGAAGCCCATTTCTGGTGTCCCCGCCGTGATATAGCGGGAATATTGCTAAAAGCGGCGTAAAACTAAACTCACTCACTCTTAAAAAACAAACCAAAATCTTAACTAGAATCTAAAATCACTACCTCCAGGACATGTTTTCTGAATATTAAAACTATGAGCTACATGCAGAAGTGTCACATTAATGTCAATAAATCTACAAATAACACAAGGATCCAGCTATCTGCCGTGACTTCTTGAACAGGGGCAAGACAGAGATGAATTAGTCCCCCGAAGTTGTCAAATCCCAGCGGATAAAAGTAAAAGCTTCCCTCGCCAACATCAAAGCGTATCAACGGTGTAATGACAATTTGGTGTTATCAAACAAATATCTCAGTATTCCTTTCATCTCGAGATAAGACGACTCATTCAGGAGGTTTTATACATACGTAGATTATGCCGACGCTAATCAACTCTTGACAAGATGGTTGCTGTCATTCGTCCTCTTTCCTTTGACAAATATTTAGACAGATTTATTAGACATCGCAGATGTAATTAACAAACCAAATGATTTATATCATGCTTGTAAACGATGAAAGGGTCAGAAGCTCTGAAATGTAAGGAAGTAGTTATATCTAAAAAATATATGTTTTCACAAATCTTGGGGTAGAAACCGTTGTCAGTGATTATCAGGCTACACCCATTAACAAGGGGAGATAACTGTACATAACACTGCAACAGACACTCTCTTGGAGTGTTATCACAGATATATGAGTAATGATAGATTATATGTCTCTAGATCGCCTCCGTGGTGTAGTGCCCCGGAGAGTGGAAGGTCGCAGGTTCGATCCCCGACCGCAGCATACCAAAAGACGTTAAAATATGGTACTTGTTGGTCCCTGCCTGGCGCTCGGCATTAATGGGTACAACAAGGACTGGTCAGCTCGGAGTCAGTATAATGT